CATAAGGTTGTGTTCCCCGAAACAACAAGTTGTCTCCGCACTCTCAGTATTCACTTCCTGTTTAGCCTTTCACAATAAAACCGGAAACAACAAAACAGACTGTACAACACACACCATGCGTCCAACCTGTCGACACAATCTGCGCGCACTGATTGCAGAAACTGAGCGCACAGATTAGTAATCCGTGCTCTCAGTTTAGTAATCCGTGCGCACAGATTGCAAAAACTGAGAGCACAGATTAGTAATCCGTGCTCTCAGTTTAGTAATCCGTGCGCACAGATTGCAAAAACTGAGAGCACAGATTAGTAATCCGTGCGCACGGATTACTAATCTGTGCTCTCAGTTTAGCAATCCGTGCGCACGGATTTCCGGCGGCTGTTTTTCTTTTTTCACCACTGACCCCCGGCGGGCTCCGTAGAAAAGCAATGTCTGGCTTTCATTTGTTCATTTTCATAGGATTTTTATTTATTCTTACTTTTGTCAGATTCCAGTTATTCCTGTGACCATTGTGGGTTTTTCTTTCACTAAAAGAAAGGCACCAACAGTTTTGTCCACGTGTGTATTACATCTACACTAAAATGTGAGTGTCTTCCAAAACTTAACAACATAGCTGTGGGTGGCAGTCTGGCCAGTTCATTCTCTTTCTTTTAAAGAAAGTAGAAAACTTGCAGTTGCTGTTTGCAGAAATGCAACTCATCAGATGAGATTCATGGCGAAGAATCTTTTACGGAGAAAAACCCAATACCTCAGTTTCAGATATCACACGACACAATTCAATCAGCAGCTATTATTGAAACGGTTTTTGATTAGTTGTAAAGGCCACAGCTTATTGATTAGCGGCGCTATAATAAAGCTGCGAGGAGGGAGAAAAGCCAAAGCATTCCAGCTGTGTTAACCGTGGTCTGTTACCTGCGCTGGCTGGTCGCTGTGGTAACCCCGGTGACACGGTGTTCCTCTGCAGAGCTGGTTGCTGTGGTGATAGGAGGCGGGGATCTGCGAGGGTGGAGGTGACGAAGGAGGTGGTGGTGACCAGGGCGCTGGCAGGGTTGTTGCTGAACTGAAGGGTTGCTGCCGCGGCTGCATTCTGATTGGACACTGGCACTGTGACCGGCATGGAGAAGGTCGGCTGCGGGACTGCAGACTGGCAGGGAGACGAGAAGAGGATGGTGTTTAAACCAGTGTTTACCTCCATCAGACTTAAGAAACTAATGGAACAGGTGGTCAGTTAGTGATCAGCTGCAGAGTGAACAAGCCTGAAGGTGACAGACACGACACAAACCAATCACAACAAGAAGAGTTTTTCCAAAATCAGATGAAACATGAAAATAAATCTGACCCAAACTAATGTCTTATAATAGGAAACAATAGATTTCCATTGCGATTTATCATGACTCACCCACAAATGAGACACAGCAAAATACAAACTAAAATAAGTTACAGTTACTAACATATGATACGTTTGTTGGAAGATAACAGACAAGCTTTAGAGCATAGAAAATAAATACATACAGAGTGCGAAAAAACAGAAATCAACACATTTCAAGATTTTCACAAAGTTTTCATTTTCAAGCAAATTCTGGTTGCGGCATGAAAATAAAATTACACCCATAATAGTAATGTTAGTAGTAAAAAAAATTTTTTTTTGAATAACTACACTTTTTCTGACAAATGAAGACTTGAGAAAAATCAACCTTTTATATTTCAAAGGCAGCCATAAAAACCCACTATTGTTCAACTTTAAAATGATTTTTTTACAGGCATTGTTGACTAAAATTATTACAAATGATTCTAAAAACTCTATTTAAAAAGTCTAAGATTTTGCAATTTAATCAATGTTTTACACAAACAAAGATTATCTTTTTTTCCCCTATGGAAGACTTGATTTGGCAGCTCATTCTCACTCCCAACTTGTCACATATTGACGCTTGGTCAGGTTCCCTCTGCGTCCGGTTTTGATGCGTCGGGTACCCCCCTCACGTCAGTTATTGACGAGATGGGGCGGAATCCAATGTCATAATTTCAGGAAGTGTAGAAAATGCACAAAAACTAACCGTCCCAAAGCCTTAAATAACCTTTATTCACTCTAGACATCCTGTCCCTGATCCTAGTACCTAAAATTAACCATCAACCCTGTTCTCTAAAATTAACAATTTTTAGAAAATGTAGGAAATTCACATCAGCTATGTGTCCCAAACCCTAAAGTTATCTAATATTCCCCCTAGACATCCTATCCCTGACCCCACTACTTAAAATTAACCATGAACCCTGATCCCAAATATTAACCAAAGACCCCTATATTTTGTGACCCAACACGTCAAAACCAGACGCCAAGGGAACCCGGAAATGCCTAGTGTGTAAATAACTGACGCGAAGGGGTTACCCGACACGTCAAAATAAGAAGCAGAGGGAACCTTGGAAAAGCATCAATATGTGATGAGTCGGGAGTGAGAATGTGTCAGATTTGGATGTGAATCTCAAAACTTCAAGATATATTTTTCACTTTATGTCGTTACGATGAAAATCACCTCTTTGATCAGTCATCAGTTGTACTGAACATCTTTCAATCTGTACTTACACAAACACTATGAGCTGACATTTAAAGCAAATAATTTGGAAATTGACTCTTCAAACAGCCGAGCACTCATCTCAAATCCCTCTCTGACACACACAAACACACTCAGTCAGTTTTAACGTGCAAAGTGACCGTGGAAAGGCTGAAAAGCTGTGCCACCTTTCATGTTTCATGCCAGGTTAGAACCGCAGTCGCAGCAGCAAGTTATTCAATTAAGTAATTGTTGACATCTGAACGCATGCGTGTCACATTCCAGCAACAGTCCTTAACGTCTACTGACATAATACTAAACTTCCTAGTTTTAACTAACAAACAAACAATAAAATTATCTTTTAATGTGATATACCAAGCTGAAATCATTAAGTTAGATGACCAAGCTGCATGGAGTGTTGGGGGGGAAGAAAAAAAAACAAGGCCAAGGACCTGAGGTTGTCCAGCCACACAAACTGTTTCACCCCGTTTCAGTTCAATCTGAAATAAGGACTTCTATAAAAGGAATATGGGCCAGTGCTGCTCTGCACTGCACTCATCCTGCCTGGAACCCAGTTTTACACCAAGAAGGACAAGGGCACCTTTCTGCCCCCGATCTCCACCTCTTCTGCTTCTTGATTTTAACTAAGATGAAAAAACGAAAAAAAAGGAAAAAAAAGAAGACTGAAGTCTTTAAAGCTAATGCAATAATTTTGGGAAAACTTTAACATTCATTTCATTTTCAAAACTGGCTAATAACTAAGTAGGTAAATAACAACAGCTACTATTAACAATAATAATGGAAATAACAGTAAAATAAGGGTTCAGGAAGGAAATACATACTTTTGTTCTAATTAAATTCAAACATTTTTAGATTTTATTTATTAGACTTTTTTTTACTTATCACAAATAAAACAAAACTTTTAAAAACTTCTAAGATAAAAAAAAAACGAGAATGCAAGTATAATTCTTGGCAAAATAAAAAAAATTAAAAAATAAAAATCTACTGTTGTGAAATTGTGGTCCTGTTAAAAGTAGTATCCTCGTGTACAGGAAGTGGTTGACAAATAAAACTGTCATCATAAAAAAGACTTCCCGGTGTCTGACAATTATTTAATTACTCTTAGACTATGAGGGAGAAGCGTGCAGACAGAGCTGGAAGTGTCGATCTGTGACAGTGAAATTAGCGGCTGGCAGCACTGCACACTGGCCAAGCTGAAGGGGAAGGGATTAATGGTGAGGGTGGGTGAGTGGGCGGGGTTAATATACAAAGAGGGTGGAGATGAGCAAACCTAGAGGCAGAACTGATTTATCTTCACAGGAGCAGGTGGGAGAGGGGGTGTTCTTTGTAAGCATCCTCACCATCAATAACTATTTTATAAATTAGAATAAAAATAAGGTAAATTTGTTTTTAGCATGACTGCCAACTAATTTGTTTCAGCACACAATTTAAGCTACAAGAGTTATTTTGCATTTATATTGGTCAAACTTAGATGTAATCTGTTGCATGCCTGTAGATGTCTTTTTTACTAAAGTTTTTAAGAATCAATCACAGTTCAAGAGGTTTTAAGGTTAAAAGTACTTTTAGTCACTCCACAATAATCCTGCTGTTTTTTTCAGACTTTTGATTTTCACACAAACTCCGCGAAGACGCCCTCTTCACGTCGTCTGTAAATACGATTTTTTAATTTGTCTTCAACCTGTTCAGCGTAGTGTTTAAAGAAGAATTTGCAAATGAATCCATGCCTTTTTCCCCTAACATCAATGCTCCTAATTGATCCAAGGAGGGATTAATGGGTGTTGTTCATCATCTTGCACATTTAACAAGAAGGATGGGAAACAAGGAAAATAAGATCCCGCTGGGTAAATAATTGACCAGCAGCTTTTCTGAAGGCTTGTTTGATACAGCTCAAGGTCTATTCTTTGCGTTGCTGTGAGAAAAGAATAAAAAGTGTGTGTGTGTGTGTGTGTGTGTGGGGGGGGGGGGGTGGTCTAGCCTACTTTCCAACAGAGGAACTCGCTCTCAACAAAACTGTTTCCAGAACACAAGGGTAGATCTGAATGAATTAAACTCATGGCCTAGTTTCCCTTTCATTCCCCTTTTGTCCTGTAAAGCTTTGGAGACATTTTAGGAACTATTTTTCCTTTCAGCATTTATATAGAATAAACTGTGTTTGTTAGTTGATGCATTCGAGCACGGAGGCAAAATGGGAAAACTGTTAAATGCCACAGCAGTTAAGAGGCAAATCTCTATTTATTGTTAGTTTGATAAAGCTTCAACTTGGCTGCTTAGAAAAAAACCTCTTAAAAAGTCAAAAGTTCAGCCACTGTAGTAGTGGTAAAATATATACATATAGAGTTATAATACAGGGTTCCTACAGCTTAAGTCAAGTTGAATTCAAGACTTTTAAAGACCATTTTAATACCACTTGAGATAAAAAATTTAAGACCAACCTCACAATAAATGCAAATGGAAAGAAAAAAAGACACAATTTTACCCAAATGTTTATTTTAAAACAACACAACTTGCTGCGAGAAGCATTTGGTCAATTATTTAAAAAAATAAATTAATGTTACCAATTATTTTAATATTTGAGATGAATTACAATCTTTCTACTTACAACGTTTTAACATTTTTAAGAATTCTGAAAGATTGATTTAATACATTTTAAGGCTAATTAAGGCCTTATTTTTGGATTGATGATTTTAAGGCCTTTTAAAACTTTTTAAGGATCCGTGGGAACCCTGTAATAGACAATAAAATAATTTTAGTAGCAAAAATGTAAAATCAGGATCACGTGACAACCTAAAAATGTATTATTGTGAACTTGCCTACATTTACATTGCAACTGTTATATTAAGTGTAATTAAAAAGGAAGTTTATCAATAAATTAAACGTAAACATCTAAAAACCAAACATCCTGTGACTGAAAGTGCAGCGGTTTTAGTAGCACTGTGTTTTTGCGTTCCTTTCATACAAAGCTTGTATTGTGCATTCAGCTTCTTGCTCAGGGGCACCATGGAGGCAGTTGTTAAAAGGAAGAAATCTATTTCTTATTCAATTTCCCAGCCCTGAATCCCAGAACCAGAGAAGGATCAAACCAAAGACCCTCCGGTGAAAAGTAAGAAAAAAGGATCTCTTTATTCTCGCCTACCACAGCCAGCAGAGCAACGGGAAGAGATGCGAAAGTTTGGAGCTCGTCGAGCCAAGTGTCCTGCCCGTTCTGCCTCGCCGCTCTCCCCGCCTCAGGAGGCATTTTAGTACAAGTGGGATTAAGCTTGTATATCCCGGCCCCTAGCTGTCATGCAGGGGATTATGTTAAAGCATGGAGGAGTGGTGGGTGGTGCAGGCTGCTTCCGTTCGCCTGCTGCCAGTGAAAGGTGAGTTGGGAGAAGCGGGCAGGTGGGCAGGCTGGCAGAGACGTGGAGGGGCAACATTATGGTGAGGATACAACGCGCCAGAAGAGTTTGGCTAACATCTAAAAAACGTGCATATTGAGCTGCATATGAATTTCATTCTGCTTCTATCATGTCTTTCTCTTTGTTAAAAAAAAGCCTTCACGAGCCATTTTAGCTAAAAGAGGCAGTGTCAAAGTAAGGACAGAGATTTGTTGAACTAATTAAACTGAAAGACCCCCCCGCTGTTAAGCCTGCTGCAAAAGATGAGCACAAAGAGCTGAAATGTTTTCACAAAATAATGCTCCCGTTTGGTGAAAATTACAAGGAAAGCAGAGACGTATTAATCCAAGAACTACGCAGTCAGTGTGTAAATGTTCTATTTCCCAGAGCTGAGCGGTTGTTGGGAAAAGGTCAAATGCAAACACGCCTCTGAAGGTAACTGTACTAAATAACACCACTGTATAATTCACTAAGCTAGTAACATTGTAGACAAGAAAAAGGAACATTTTTCTCCCTCTGGATCAAACATGCTGAATGTAAATTTTCTGAAAATCCGCAGGCTAACTCTCCTGCAGCACCTGGATGTGACTGTGTCCCATCCCAAGTGACCAATCAGACACGCCGGCAGACTGGAAGAGGGGCCGTAAATTAAGAGCTCCTCATTAAAGTGACATTAATTGCATTTATTGCGCACGGAGGGGGGAAAAAATGAATCACGGAGAAACCGGCAAAGGAGCAGAGCGGTAAAAAGAGCTTGGCAGAGTGCCAGTCAGAAGGCAGAACCTGGAAAGTATCAGGAGCACACTGAGCCAGAGGAGCAGATCTGCACTGAAACCCAGCTGACCTCGGTAATACTCTTAGCATCACACAGATAATAACTGCACCCTGGATTTTTAAGCTCCGATGCTTTATCTGCACTCACACGGTTCTTTGATATTGCTAAGTATTACACAATTTGTATTTTCAGGCAAGTAATCCAACTGCTTCCAGGCATGCTCTAAAGTGTTTACAATTTCCATAAAAAATGATTTCGCCGAGCAATTTTCAGTTGCTATGCCAACTTTTCGCAAAACTAGGGACCCAGTTAATAGTTCGCACTTTTAAAGTGTGTATTCTTATGGTTTTGTGAAGTTACCGTGGCATATAAACAGCTTATTATGGCAATAACACTCCTTAAGATTCTCTTCACCGAGGTGACTTCATACAAATAATCCCATTAGGGGCATGTGGTTTTTGGTGTTTTGCTTCTTGTTTTATGACTTCTTTTCATCTAACTGCCAAATTTACACAACAGCGGCGGTGCAAAGAAAATTATGTTTTATTTCAGAGAAAAATCAGCTTATTATTCAGAATTTCTAATCCATAAAAGAAATTTCCAAAAAGTGGAAATGATCTGTTTATACAAAACAAATATTTAAACATAACTCTTTTTTTTTTTCAAATAAAGGAAGTGAAACTAAATGTTGACATTTATCCTTTGTGAAGCTAGCTTTTAATTTCTTGTTTTAACAAAACTACGATGAATGCATTAAGTTTCGTTCAACCTAGTTTTCCCTTTTTTACTCAAGTACACCTGGCTGATCTGCCTTGTGTTTGTCAAGCACACACTGATGAGGGCGGTACGGTTTGTGGGTAGTGATTTTAAAGCTGGAAATATGTGCTGTTGGTAAAAGGTGAGGGGAAGAAGGTAAAAGGGGGGG